CTAATCAACACCAGTCTGTGTGAATGAAATTTTGCCCTAGAGATAAACACACTCCCCTAATGATAAAACTGAGTTTGGTTCAGTGGGACGTGTGGGTCTCAACATCATGTACAGATGCCTTTTTTAGTCCAATTTCCACCACTGTAGTGGGAAACCACACTTTCCTCGTTTATTGTCTGTGGAGTTTACAACCTCCTTTGAAATCAATTTTCTTCTCCCTCATTTTTGACGTTTTCGCCAAAAACCACCAATTTTACATGCCACTTAAAGGTCTAAGTTCTTCCATCCAGTTGGGGAACTCTTCTGACCTTCCCAACAACTAAGTATAATTAAAACCTTTAATAAGATCCCCGATACTACTAAAGGTAAACAAGGACACACTCTGCAGTAGTATATGGGATAGGTTTTGACTAGTAGATTGGAAGGCAAAGTAGTGAGGGACACGAATTTCACTTATTTTAGAGGAGGAATCGTGCGACTCAAGTAAAATGACAACAATGCAGCATTGACATCCACCCGAAGTGTTCGGTCGTTTGATCTACAAGATTCCTTGGCATATCCACAGCGTCTGATCACATTGCACTCCCAAATTCCTTAATTTATCAATGATGAGCGGTCTTTGAGACTTGCCCTCCTTCCTCCACTTCCTCCTACTTACATCGAGACAAATGCTGAAAGGAGGGCATTCGGCATTGCTTGATGCTAGGATCTTACAAGCAATCACAGATATTAGTGAATATCAGGTAGCCAGCGTTTGTCCTTCCTTCAGAGATCGGGAATAATGACGTCCTCTTGGCCAAAAGCTTTGTCTGATCTGCCCACTTCTCACTCAATAGGCGCATTCAAATAAACGGACATTGAATGTATTGCTGCTTTTATGCCATGTAGCACTATCGGAGTCAGCCAACGCACACAGTGAAGAAAAGCTGCATGAAGCAGATGCCGAGAGCCAAAAAGCCGCCTGCTCGGACTCGTTTAGGTGCACCCGGTTCGATCTCCTTCGACCACAAAGGATGAGATGAGGCGTGTCGCCATGCCCCATCGAGGAAACGAGGTGTATCTGAATTGCAGGCAATTGCAGTGCGAGAACTGATTTATCTAATCACAACTACATGCACTGCACAAGCACAGTATCACAAGTCAGGCAACCTACGTATGTTGTAGACACCAATGGTATTTACGTGAAAGTGTTAGGACACCAACCGCCATGTGGTAGGCCTCCTGAATTAATACTTATAAATTTGATTTGAGTGCGATTAATTGGAATTCACCTTAACGACAAATAGCGTTTACTTTTGCTTCAACTCTGTGTCACCATTCAAATCCCAGTGGCAATGTAAAGAGTCATCTAAATGTCGAGCAGATTGTGGCATTTCTCTGACCACCTACGAATATAATGAGTCAAATTCCATCAACACTGCGAAATTTGGGCAATTATTAACAGATGGTTTAATTTCAAATGAGGCAATTTGGGTCTTTCCTTGTGCACTCCTAAATTTGCAAGTCTATAATACAATTTTTTGACACACAAATGAAAATGTCTGTCACCAGCTGCTGCAGCTACGTTTCTTTTGTATTGCACAAGATGCCATCTTTCGTATGGTCTAAATATGCTGATGGGTAAGGTAGGTCAAATGTAACAGTGAGCAAATAATTGAGTATGCCAGTCGTAATTACACTGGTAAGTACTTATTCGTGGGCAAGGCCGACACAACTCCAAGTAGCTTCTTAGTTAGTGCCGATATTTCAACAAGGTTTCACTAGTGTGTGCTCCTCGAATCAGAAAAATTCCAATAACCTCGCGTGCGTGCACTGCAGACATCTTTGGCAGATCGTGTTTTTGCGCCAATGTTGTAATCCTGCTAAAATGAACCACCAAAACAAAAAGTGTTGACTGGAATGAATGCCAATGAAATGGTTGTGAGTCAATTGACCACCACCGTGGTCAACGTGATTGTCGCAACGAGTGGTCAATACTACTTAAGGTAAAAGTAGCAACTTGGAGTTAATAGTAAGCCATGCGATAGAAATTTCACATTGGATCCGTAACAACAAATACGAAATCGACGTGCAGAGGAGAAGAAAATTGATGGAGACGAAATTAGTCATTTCGAATAGATTCTTTTTAATTGAGGTACTTGAACTTGCAGAAGTGCCAAACATTTCCTGTGCGATGAAATGCAGTTTGGGTGCTACCTGAGAATCAAGTTGACATCGACTCCATTTCACTCTCATGCAACCTACATTGTAGTATTGCAGTGATGCAGTGTCTCCGTTACCCAGCTCCACCATCAGTTTAGGTTCAATACGGAGTTGGCACGATGTCGTGCTGCGCAATCTCTCCAAATTTCGTTTCTGCACTGGGATGCGCTGACCTTAATGCAGGATACTTGTTCTTCCTAAGGTTCCAACCCTTTACTCTTTTTCGGCCGCTTTTACATAAAACCCAAGGTGAAAAGAAACAACCAAGGTCAAATGCCAAAATAATATAATTTTTCTTCAAACAATGAACTTTAAAAATGGTATCGCAGTTGCGCAAAATTCAACAGAATTCACTCTTTGCAATTAACAAAGTTATAAAATTGGTGTGCATGGAGCCGCCAAAAAGCTCAGTGCTTGCTTGGAAAATAGTTTGTCCCTTTTAATCCTACATGGAACCCATTAAATGAGGACTCACTGTTGATTATTAAGTTGTAAGACTAAAACAGTGCAACACGTGTTTGTTTGAAGGACCTTTTAAGTGTCTTGCAGGCAGAGTAAAACCAATCACCATCACTATCAGTCCTCAAGGGAGTGACAAACTTTAATTCCCCCACAAAGCTTGAGTCAGTTGTAGAATCTCATTTCACCCTAATACTAGATGCCCTCCATTAACCAATCTTCTCGATCCGGAGATCTAAGACCGGAAGATGAAAAGGCATACAACGGTAGACTAATGTCATTGATCTCACTTTGAGTCATTGCATTTCCTTTTTTAAATCAATTCTAATCCAATTCATTTCTTCTTCTCTCAGTGGAGCTGAGTGTACTGTAAAATGTCAGATGAAGCAATAGGTTCCGTTGCTAGCACTAAAGGTGGTAGTTAGTAGCTCCCTGAGCGGGATGCATGTTGATGCTAATTTAATGTTGGTAAATGGCAAATGTGCAAGACCGAGAGCATCGACTCAGTTCTCGACACCTCCGAGAGTGTCAGTGTATTGGTGAATCAGTGAAGCACTGAAAGGATGATGGGTAGCCTCCTTGGTTAGAAATTACTCAAAGTAGTAATTACTTTGACGTGAGTAGCATCCGCTGCATCATCTGCTACTAAAATCAGCATCAGTAAGAGCGGCATCTTTCACAGACACAT